AACTCTTAGATGTTTTCCAAATAGTGAGAATATATATACACGTCATTATTTCCATAAGCCTTAGAAATAATAAAGTGGGTACAAATACTATATATGAATACATTTGACTTTTCCATATCAAATAGGAATAAATTTTTCTAACAGCTGTATACATTTTTTAGTGTCAATATTTTTCATTGTTCTCTATTTAAATTAAGTAGAAGTCCACTAGACATATGGATGTTCTTATGCATTCTCACCCCTCTTTACCTTTCTATGAAACCAGGTGTGTGTCCTAGGGGCCTGTACTTTCTAACCATTCCAGCTATATGACCAAACAAATTTAGGCTTTTTACCTTATGGGAAAAGCTGTTATCTGGAGGAAGAGTGATATATAACATAATGATACTTAATTTTGACAATTCAAATTTGTCAGTTTTTCATATGTGCAAGATTATTCTTAACAACATTGTAACAGCAGAACATTAGAAATAATCTAAATGTGCATCAGCAAATCAGCAAAGAAAATGAGGCAGCTCTTTGTTTACTGATATGGAAGGCTCTTCAAGATCTAGTTCGGTGGAAAAAAATAGCTCAGAACAGTGAATAGAGTATGCTACCATTTGTTGGACAGAAAAGTGCATGTGTGCATGTGTGTGTGTATGCACACTTATGTAACCATGGAATGTCAGGAAATCTTTGGAAATATACCCAAGAAACTGGTAACTGTGGTAGCCCTTTGGAGAGAAACTGTCAAGAGTAGAAGGTAGACTTACTTTTACTGTTACAAACTCTTGTACCATATAAATGTACAAAAATATTCAAAATAATAATAAAGTTTTTAAAAACAACATGACAATAATGAGAGTTGGTCAGCTTTTGAGTTGCTACAGCTGAGATTCTTCATGGTTTCATTTTTCTTGGTGCATGATAGAAAGTATATGCAGGATAATAAGTTTCAAGATTTCATCAATAAATGAAAAATACTAATCAGGCCCAAAATTAAACTACCAAACTGATTTATTTAAAAATCAAAACAAAATCAGTAGAAGACACACTTTTCTATTATAGATTTTACCGTCCATTTGAGAAAATAAAATGGGATGTAAAGGTAATCTGTCTGTGACAGCTGTTGGGCTAAATTCAACAGTTATTTCTTCTAATCTTGTTGCTGTCGCCTCTGCCCCACTGCTTTACGTGAGTTCTTCCCAAAGCTGTTCAACCAATGGAAAAGGAGCTTTCCCAGCTAGAAAGATAATCTTCAGTCAAGTGTATATAAAAAGACAAACACATAGAACAACTCAAGAATATTTAATGACTAATTTATATTTTTTCATGAATCGAAGTTTATAATAAAGCTCAAAGGTAATTTGTTGAGATTTTGTTCAATTTATAACCAACACTGAATCTGACCACCTAATTGGAATTGATAGAGATTATTCTTTTTTTCATTTTGTATATCAAATACCAATATAACAAATTAAAATGTAATTAAAATTCACTATAATAAAATTATTTCCAAGATTTAACAAACGTATGTGGAAATAATTTTAATACTTTCTTAAAGATAATTATAATTGGAAATAACCCAAATTAGTTAAGGTTAAGATTTATTTGTGATATGTTTTCTAAAATATTCAGAAAAATTTCAGAATATGTCTAAGGATTATTATTTCTAAAACTTATTTAGGCAGGTTAATAGCATTATCACAAACCAAAAAGCAAAGATCAGTAAACAACCAAATAACTCTGCTTGGATTTTCAAACCTTTTCTTCTAAGGCCTGGGTTTGGATAACTAACATATACTGTTTCTTAGCTTAAATAAGTATTTTTCTGTGAAATATAGTTTCTGTAACACCTTGTTTGGGCATTGACATCTTAATCTTAGACGAAAGGATTAACAGAATAAACCATGAACTTCTTTTCTTCTGGGAGAGTGTGCATACCTATACACATAGATATGTGTTTACAGCTAAAGAAGTTTATTTCAGCAAGTTTCTTCCTTTCTTTTTTTTTTCCTTCCTTCGTTCAGGCAATGTTATTCCTCATGTCATTGGGACCAGGGGAGTTCAACTATCTGCACAGGCACATGGTGTGGTTCAAGAAGGAAAATATTTAGATATAAAGTACCTTTCATGTCAGTAAAACATAAAGGACTTACTCCTTTTGCTTGTTGGTCTTATCTTAAAAAGAATGTAGTGCAAGAGCTCCTTAAGATCAGAGAGTCATTTATACAATCTGTATGATTGTATAATGCTCTGTGAGCTGTCAGATATTTAATGCTCAACTTCATGACTATACGGGGAAACGGACTTCACACCCAATTTCTGAATACTAGACCTAGTAACACTAAACTTTGAAAATCTTCATGTCTTTTAGAAATGGAGAGGTAAGTTTTTATGACTATTTCTTCATTCGCTTACACAGATCAAATAAGTAATCTTTGGTCTTAATCTGTCTACTGTGATCAGTTCCTTCAGGAGATTTCATACTCATTCCTAAGAAGTACTTGAAATACATTCTGCCTTGAAACTAGATTTGTGTGTGCTTTATTAGTACTTCTTTTTAAGTTTTTAAACTTACAGAAGGTATCAGGTATTAAAGGTTTAAGTGTGTCATGTTCTAAGAAAGTAACTAGCCAAGTATCCTTTCACTGCACATTCCTGTTAAAGTCGACATAGGAAAGTTTCTTAACCACAGGAATGACGTGCAAGTGCTCTGCTCACTTTCTGAGTACACCTCTTTGCCCTTTCTGCTCTCCTCCCCTCTTTCTCAAGAACTGCTATGTAGAAGACTTTCCATTTGTCATGCAATATCATGTGACATAAGAAAAATTACCCTACATATTTTCGAAGTCACTGTAAGTCATCTCAGAAAAGAGAAATTTGATATCACAGACAATTTTTTGATAAGTATTTTCTTTGCTATCATTATATACGGGAGAGAGGAACTGGCTTAGAAATGTGCATATATTATTAGATAAAAATGTAAAGAACCTAAATGCCCAACAATATGGGACTAACTAAACATCCATTCAACTGAATACTATGCAGCCAGTTAAAATTAGATTTTAGAATAATATTTAGTGACCAAAAAAAAAATGTTCATAGTGATGGTAACAGCTAAAATTTATTGGGTGTAGATTTTATGTGCTTGTATTAACTCGGTTGGTTAATCCTCACAACAGTCTTGTGGGGAGAAAGTATTGTTATCCTCATTTTAGAAGTGAGGAAACTGAGGCTCAGGCATTTAAGTAGCTTGCCCAAGCTTAGATAGCTGGTAAGAGGCAGAACTGAAATTCAGACCCAAGCAATTTGGCTCTAAAGCCCTTGCATAGGCATCATTATATGAAAAAATACCACAAATCTCTGTAAGCTTTTTTATGGAACTAGACAAAATATTTTTAATTCATCTAGAAAAGAAAATGTGTTAAAGATACCCAATCAAATTTTGACAAAGCAGAATTGGTAGAGGGGAAGGACAGCATGTCCTCCTACCAGATATCAAAATATACTATAAGATACAGTAATTTTTAAAATACCATATTGTAGCAGAAATAGAGGACAAGTCAGAAGAGCATGCTACTTTTTATTTTCATAGAGAAGAGGCTGCATGGATACACCTCAATATTAATACTGATTATCACTGATTATAGGGATTTACAGGTGATTTTTCTTTTTTTATTTTTATTTTTCAGATTATCTACAGCGAACGTTTTAAATCATACAATGTTAGCAAGTTTATTTTTAGTGCTCTTAAAATTTCAAATTTTAACAATACTTTATTAGTCAATATATATTGCTATTTGATTTTATGCGTAATGTAACCTGTGTTTTATGAATTGCTTGCTCTGCGAAGTGAATTCTCTAATTCTCTCTCTATATATATAAATTCATTTATTCAGAGCTTAAATTAACCAATCACACACAATCCAGTCCTCCTTGTTGGTAAATGTGGAGAAAAGGCAGTGGGGTAATAATCCTCTTCTAGCCTAGGGTTGAGGAGAAAGATTTCAGAATCTGTGACTTATTTTCGAAACCTGAATTGTTTATTAATGGTATAAAGAAAACTATTGAATTTTATATACATAGCTTCTTTATGATCACCTTACTAAACTTTATTGTAAGTTGTAATAATTTTTCAGTTGATTCTCTTGGATTTTCTAGGTATATAATCATTTCATTTACAGATAATGATAACTTTTTTCTCCAATATTTATGGTCTCTGTGTTATATAACATCCCCCAAAATGAAATAGTTGTTAAAAAGGATAAGTAGTTGTTATAGTAACAACATGGATAGATGAGTCCAATATATTAAAGTGAAAAAATAGAGTTACAGAGTCCTATCCTTTGTATAGTATAATCCAGTCTTTACACACTTAAAGACTTTAAGTACTTTAAACACTTTAAAAAGCAAACACTGCATAAAGTGCTTAATTTGGGGAGATTACTTCTCCCCCCAGAATTCCTGTACCAATTTAGGTGCCTGTCTTAGTTTGCTCAGACTACCATAATAAAATACTATAGATGGGATGGCTTAAACAATAGAAATTTATTTTCTCACATTTCTGGAGGCTAGAAAGTCCAAGATCACTGTGCTAGCTGTTTCAGTTCCTTGTGAGAGCTTTCTTCCTGGCTTGCAGAAGCTGCCTTCTCACTGTGTCCTCACATGGCAGAGAGAGAGAGAGAATGGTCTCTCTTTTCCTCTTACAAGACCACAGTCCTATCAGATTAGGTCCCACCCTTATGACCTCATTTAACATTAATTACCTCTGAAAGACTATCTCCAGATACAGTCACATTGGGGATTAGGGCTTCAACATGAATTTTTTGGGGGGACACAGTTCAGTTCATAGCAGTGCCTAAACTTTTGCCCTAATATTCTGAGAAATCCTGTGTTTATTTTATTTCAGACAAGATTAGTTTTGTCCTTTCTTATGACGTTCTTAAGGCATTTGTTACTTTACAGCATATCAGAAATTTTATCTAAACTTAACCTTATGAATCATTTCCTCTTAGACACAAAATCGAATGAAGCTAATGGCTGATAACTATGAGGATGACCACTTCAAATCCTCCCATTCCAATCAAACCAATCATAAACCCTCCCCAGACCAGGTAAGACTGCTCTTGAATGTTTTATAAAAACTAGTATGCTTTTATTTTGGTGTATTTTGTACTAGCATGTTACAAATTCTGGGGTATAAGTTAGAAAAATAAAAATAATCAGTTTCTGAAAATTCCTTCACTTTTTTTTAAAACACAGATTCACTTTCTATATAGGAAGGTGATGGATGATTCTGAATATTTTAAGAGGAGATATTCAAAAGATTTGAGGACAATAAAGAATCTTTGAATTGGGTTGAGAAAAAAAAGTTTAATCTTCTCAGAGATACATTCTAATTTGTAACTGTCCTGCTTTCCTTATTAAAGAAACAATGCCTTATTAGAAAAACAAGACTCTTTCCTTGTGATCTCAGTGAGGCACAACTCAGTGTTGAGGTAATTATTGTTTAATTGCAATTGTAAAATCTGTGCTCATCACCTATTAAACGTGAAGATTGAAACTTAGTTTCTTCATTCCCACTTCCTTGGTGGATCCCTCCAGAATATGTCATTCTCAAGGAAAATTGTTGCCTTCAGCTTCTCGTCAATGCAAAAGAGGCATTGATGAGTCTGAAGGGAACCGTATTCAACTCCAGTTTTTTGGAAAAAGGGAACTCTCCCAAGATCTTGAAAATGATGGATGGGGAGAGTAGTGACCAGATTACCTCGTATCCCATTGCCAAAAATCAGATTTCAACATCTCTATCACACTCAATTTTAAAATATGTAGCTGAGGGAAAAAAGTGATAGTAAGTAATTACAGCCATATGACTAAAGAGTCAGGGAAACTCCCTCACTAAACATCTCCACTGAATGATAGCCATGGCGTTGTCTTAGGAGGAGAAGAAGAAGAAATATTGCAGACGAAAGCAGCAATGATATCCAATGGCAATTTTTTCTAAGATTGAGAAGGTATTGTCATAGTATGATGATGTTTACTAAACAGTTGAGGCAAGCCTTATATTTTAGAGGGAAAACAGTACCAGTCTTTAGGCAAAATGGAGAGCCGTCTGCCTGATGTCAGCAGTCTTTCCTTGCCAAGAAAGCATTTTGTTTTCTCCGCCTGCTTCCTGATACTTAGAATTAAATTTATGCCAGGGTATATAAGATGAGTATTAGATCCTTTCCGTGAAACAAGTTTTGGTAATAAATACAAGGAATTGGATGCCTGGGAGTAGTGGGAGGCAAGCAGAAATGGAGAAGGGTTGAAGAAAAGGCAAAAAATAAAAAGCGTCCAACTTGATAATTTTGCCCAGATCCAGCCCTGGGATAGAGAGAGCATCTTGGAAAGGTAGGAAGAGTAGAAGTGTGATGACAAACCAATTACTAATTTTGGTAGTTTAGGGAATTAAAATCTAAAATAGTCAAGAAATTAAGAGACCATTTTCTTCTACTACATTATGCTTATGTCTTTGTTTTAAATACTAACCAACTCTTTTTCATTCCCATGCTGCTCTGGGGCATGTTCCCTTTGTCATCTCTCCCCATAGGATGAGGAGGAGGGTATATGGGCATAGCCAATCAGATGCTCTTAGTTCAGCCATTTTGTTCAGAACGGTGAGAAACAGCTTTCCTTAACTATAGAAATGCTTTTTGTTTGTTTGCTTTTATTTTATTTTATTTTTTACACAGTCATTCTCACATCTTGTTTCTCTGTAATTCATGAAATCCTTTGGTATGCTGTTTGTTTTCTCATTTTCACATGATTCCTGTGTGTATTGCTATGCTTCTGACTTGGTGGAGTTTGGGTTTTGTGGCTTTTTTTCTTGTTGTGTGTTAATAGTCACTTTTATAGTTTCTTTTTATACACATTTGGGAGAACTTCCGGGGCATGTAACTAAATTGGTCCTATTATGATTTTATTAATAAACTACCTTCCCTATCTAGCATGATTTTACAGTGTCCTGGTAAGGTTTATAGTGACTTATATCAAACTGGAAATAGAAAATTGATCAAATACTCTGCCAGTAGGTTTGGGATATACTTCTTATGATAATTAATTCTAAATATGTAGTCTTTTAAAAAAAAAAACAAAACTGTACTATGAACTAAAACCTTTTGTTTCTATCTATAGAAGAATACTCTGAATTCTCTGGGTCAGTAATTCTTATAGAGTGAGTACCTAGGACATCCCCTAGGGCTTTGACATTACTCTCAAGCTGTCTCTAAAAATGAGAAATAAAGGGAGACTTTTAAAAAAATTTGTCTAAAGAATTCTTTTTCCTCTCTTTTATGGATTGCTGCTGTGTTAAACAGTTGCCAGGACACTGTCTAGATTCTCCTTTCCAGGCCAATTGGCTAGAAAATGTAGTCCAGCTGTGGCAGTATCTCCCTTTGATCTGATGCCCTGGAGGTTTGACTAAGGAAATCCTTTTCTTAGAAAAAATAATAATTATGATTAATAAGTTCACACATATTGGTGGCCTTGCACTCCCTGGATTCACTGCCCATTCTTATTGGTGATCTCACTCTTTTGGAGTCAGTTCTCCCTGAAGAGTCTGTGTCTTGGTGTTGTATGTGTTAAAATGATGAGGACATGTGTAGACCTCTCACTGGCAAACACAGCCAAGAAGGATGATAAGGTAAGTTGTGGAAAGGGGCATATACTGTGAAGATGGGAAACTTTCCAAGTGACTTTATCCTGAGGGTGTGAAAGAATGTGAAATGCACAATACCAACCAAAAAGCTCTTTGGGTTAGAATGTTGCATACCAGACAAAGCTAAAGCTGAGAAAATTAGTGTGCTAATTCCCTTTATCTATACTACACCCTACAAGGGTAGTTATTTGTCATCATTAAGCACGTGGGGGCCATACAGTAGTTGAATGTAGTTCACCAGTCTCCTTCTTCTAAATGAACCTGCCTTGTCTGTTTTGGCAAAACATAGGAGCTTCTTGGCATGCCTTAGCAGGAAGCACCTCCACCACATACATGAACAGGATCGTATTTTGGTTGTACACCGTTTTTCTAGCCAATCAGAAGAAACCTGTTAGTTTTCTAGGAAACAAGGCCCACAGGTAACTTCACCAGGAGACTGAAAACTGAACAATTCTTCACATAGACTTATTCCTGAAGTCTCCATTTTCCTTTCTCTTCTCCCATAATAGAGTAACTCCTAGCAAGAGTTCAAATGTTACTGATTTTGTTTTTTCCAATTACTGCACTGTTGAACTTACTGCACTAAAATATTAACTGCCATTGGTTTATCACAGTACAGCTGATGTCAGCTGGACATAGCTGGAGTTTCTATGATATGGTATTTCAAATTTTCTAAAATGTGCTGTAAATATCATTATACCATAAGACTTTTACCTAGAGAAATGCATGAGTGACCCCTAAAATATTGCAGAAGTCTTTACTTGCTATCCAGTTTCCTTTACTTGTTTCCTTGCTAATTCTACAGAGAACAGATTTTCTTAACCAAATTTCAAACTTTTGAAATTGATGATTTATTTTATCAAACTTAAGAACATAATGTTTTCCATCTAAAGCATATTTTTAAAACACCATATATACTAGCAAAGTATGAGCGTTATTAGATATAATCAGTACTCAGGAAGAGACTCATAGAAGTATAGAGCTGAAAGGGGTCTAGGCCATTTCATCAGAAGTGGTAGAGCATAATGGTTAAATGTCGAGGCTTTGGAGCGGAATGCCTATGGTTAAATCCTAACACCACCACTTATTAGCTTGTGACTTTGGACAAGGTGTTTAATCTCTCTATACTTCAATTTCTTCATCTTTAGAATGAGGTTGTTGTAAGAAGCAAATGAGTTGTAAGAGGCATGAACTCTGGAGCCAGACTGCACAGCTTTGAGTGTAGACTCCTCTACCTACTCTGTGGCCTTGGGAAAACAACTTAATCTCTGAGTGTTTTGTAAAAATGGGTTTATTACTAGTGCCTACTCCATAGGGTTGTTGGAAAGATTAATAAGTTAATATACGTAAAATGCTTTGAACAGTGCCTTCTACCAGCAAGTACTCTGTTCGTGCTGTTGTTATTTTTTGTTGTTGCTGTTGTCATGGTTAACTTGAATCCATCGCTGGGGAATAGTAATCTTTCAGTAAATGTTAGTTATTATTAATATCTAGTCCAGTGCCCTCATTTTATAGGTAAGGGAGGTTTGGAAGGGAGATGTGGAAGTTGTGACTTTAAGGTCCCCAGGCATTTCTATGGTCTGGAAAGAGACGACAGTGAAGGAGATATCCAAGACATATTGATGATTGTATCTCCCTTTTCATCTTCAAAAGATTAATCTCCTATATGTTGAGGAATTTTTTCCCTTAGGAAAAACATCTTGAATTTTATAAAGAAATTCCCTATAAAAGGAATTTAGTCACTGAAACTTCCTTTGAAAGAATTCGTTGCCACCAAGCAACCCTCCTAAGACACACAGTGTGAAGCAAGTGTTGCCTCCTCTTAGAAAAAGTGACAGAGCTATGTTCTCCCTCCCCTCAGCCTATAGGAAATCCATGTGAAATGTATCCCTGCCACTCTCTATCCCTTTAATTTGAGTTTTCTTCTTATGTTTTTCCCCTTACAGTAGAGTGTAGGCCCCGGTGAGGACAGGGACTTATTATTTACTTTTGTATTCCCATCATCTATAACAATGCCTGGTATACCTTAGGCCCTCAGTAAATATATATTGAATTCATTAACTTCTGAATTCATGAAATCCAGAGAAGAAACAGTAAAATTTACCTTGAAACCAAGAGCATAGAATTAGCTATTAGTTTTAATATCAGCATTACTAGTACAAGAAAGGGAAGTTTCGAAAGAGGAGATAAGAAAAGCATCTAGAAAAAAGATTTGTAGAGAAGTGTTGAGAATTTGAAGGGCAGTCATAGTTAAGTCATAGAATTTAGCTCCTATGATTTCATGCTAAATAAGAAGGAGTTGAATGTAATTCAGAAATATTTTCTATGCTAACTGAACATCCTTCAGGTGGAAACTTTTCTCCTGCTAACCTGTGGTTCATAGCCATCAAGAAGAGCCTGGAGCATAGTAGGTAC